GTTGGCATGGAGCTTTCTTGGGGGCCCACAGAAGGGAGGGTGGGAGCAAAGGGAGAGGATGAGTCTACCTGAGCACTGAGGTTGTGGCAGCAGCTGGGAAGAGCCTACAGGGAGACAGAGGAGAAGGGAGGGGTGCCTGGGTACCAGTCAGAGGGTGAGGCAGGATGTGCCCTGAACACCAAAGTCACAGGGCAGCTCTGAGCATCAGCCACAGTGGCCATGGAGGCTCCTCGCTGCACTGCAGGGCACTGGGACTCTCCGGGCCCCTGCAGCACCCTGATGAGAAGGAGTTGAGGCTGCTTGTCTCCTCACAGCATTACCTGAAGCAAACTCTCTGCTACTGGAAGGGTCCCATAGTAAAAGCAAGCATTAATAACAGATAATCCAACCTAAACACTGCAGAGAAGAAAACAGCATGAATTAGGAGATACCTGTTCTGTGACACAAGGTTAAAGATAAGCTTTGCTTGTATTTCTGAAACTCTTATGAGCTTGTTTTCTGTGCTTGTTTTAGACATGGCACAGGCATGCCCACGGGCTGTTGGCATATTCTGTTAGAAGGACAGATTTCAATCAGTAATGTTTCAAAGAACTCTATCTATATCACAATGGTTTATATTACCCAGCGTTTGGAAAGTTCATTAAGGAAGAACTTCACTGCAAAAGGAGACAAATGAGACAACTTCTCAGTATCTGTGCCATGAAGACTTGTGTCAGGGAAGCCTATGGAACTGAACTGCCCGAGATAAAAGTTACATCAGAGGCGCAAAGTGTCGCGATGTTATCAGGCTACTGATGCAAAGTGGGAAAACTGAATAAAGCAAAAAAAGATGGCTGTTTCCAGCACAACTGAAGAACATCTTCAAACATCTCAACTGGCTTTAAACACTGCAGTAATGGATGTTTTGCAAATACAAAAATATCAATGAGAGGAAGAAAATCTTTGACACTGTAGAAAAGGAAAGCAATGGAATCACTGCACTGCATAGTAATTCTCAGTACCTATAAGCCCCCAAAATAGGCTCCTGTCTGCTCTGTTTGATACCAACAAGATCAAAACTCTGACTTCAAAGGGACTAGGCTCTAACTTTTACTTTTGGGAAATCCTTCTCTGTATCACTAAAACATACTGATCTCACAGCACTCCAACAAAGCAGACCTTTCCATTTGCTCAGTGACATACAGACAAAAAGCATTTTCCAGAATGTCTGCCTCACAGCCTGGTCACAGTGCTGTTGTCAGCCCAGGGCCATCTCATGTTTTGCTGATGACTACTTTTACTGCGAGACAGTTTAAAAAAGCTGCATTTCTATGCTTACTTAAGTAGTACCCTCCCAAATTTCAGGCTGCTTTTTTAACTTTATGAGTCATACAGTGCAAAAAGGCAATAAAACAACTCAGAAGTCTTGCTGGCTTTTCCTCCATGGAAAAAGGAAATAAAAAAGAGTGGGATCACATAAAATAGTGAAATGAAGCACCTGTTGAGAATGGAAAAGCATACAGATAAACGGGTTAAGTGACTTCAAGTCCAATACAAGCAATTGTGAATTCACGGGTGTATGTATGAATCATTCTCCATTTCCTGCCAGAGAGCTTAGGTTTCACTTAATTACGAAACAAAATCATGAATGAAGAAGGCTAATTCACAGGCATACATATCATATATTTATTTATTTATTACTTTTTCCTCACATAGCCCTCCATTTTCATCATAGCTATTGGCGAGCATTGAATGATCACATAAGAAAAAAGTCTGGCAGCATTAGGTACAGTATTTGCAAAGTACATGAAAAATCTGTCACAGCTAGAAAGAAGCTAACAGACGGTAGCTGGATAGAAGAAAGAGCCACAACTCTTGCTACCTGTGGTTAAAGAACAAACAAAATCAACTCCAGATTTCACAGTGCAGCTTGAAGAGAGAGCTTTAAATAAGAGAGAATCAAGGTAGAAAATGACCAGATACAACTAAATGTTTGCAAAGTAGTCTCAGCAGAAGGGATATTTTCAGATGATTGTTTAAGGCCAGTGACAGCAATAGTCCTCTCTGCTGCACGCTGCCGAAGAATAAAAAGAAGCAGGGGGGAGTGAGTGAAAGGAGGTGTGGGGGGTGTAAGAGAACTTATTTTTCCGGAATTTTAATTGCAGTTCTGTAGACTGTAGACTGTGTAGACTGTGGTTGTTCTGCTTCCCACTATGCCATACACTTTCAACACTCTTTAAAACATGTTGTACCAAAATCATGCCAAATCATAAAAATGAGTAAAGACATCTTTCATCAAGGCATGTGTGTCTAACATTACACATTTAAATAATCCTAGATTATGAGAATAAACAGGGTCGATCCTCTCACCAATCCCGTTTACATATGTCAACAACCCTTCTTGCAATGACTTGCACATAACTACCTGCTCTTGCTTTCCCTTGGTCAAGATCACTCAGTGCCCAGCCCTCTTCACCCCGGCACCAGTTCATTGACGAAATCTGTCAAGTACCTTTGTACTTCAGGTTTTAATGAGGATAAGGATCTAACCCAGATTCACTTGTTGTATCAAAGTCATATTGTTACCCCAAGCAGGTAATAACTTTTCTGAAATACACAGTTTGGGAGAGAGATGCAAGACTTTCCTCTTCAGTTTAGAACAGGTAGGAAAAAAAGCAACCTATCTTAAAAGCAACCCTACCTGAGAGTAGGCAGCTGCACTTACTCCATGCCATGTTGAAATGCTGCAACCAAGAAACTGAACAAAGCGCTTCTTCCTCAGGACACAGCATTTCTTGAAAACCAAGGCTTGAGATCACAAGTTTTTGGAACAGATGAAACTTTCTTCAGTCAGATACAACTGGTATGTGACACCACCTCATCCTGTGTAGCAAGAATCCCTGCATTACTTTGTAATGGAATTTTGCCACAATCCATTTGATTATAGTACAAATTACATGTATTTCCTTTAGTTCTATGAAGCACGAAACAAACTAAATAGAATGGTGTTCTCATAAAAAGAGTTAAAGAACATATGGAGATTAAGGAAACTTAGAGCCAGTTTTCAGATCAGCCCCATACATCATAAGTGACCTTAAAAAATGTCCTTGTATCTTAGTTCTCCATCACTGAAATGGGATAACTTAATACTGACTTCCAAGGGACCAGAAGGCCACAAATACAGATACAAGCATCTATAAGCTTATACGCTCAGAAATTATTGTCATGAACACCCACCTAACAAAATACAACTATAAACTTTTCCACAGAGATCCTAACTAACTTTCTTTCTACTGCCATTTCATACTTCAGCTTATTTGGACTGTCCACAGAAAGGAGGTCATCAAGTATTCTATTTAGATTAGGATGTCAGTGCATACACACACACAGACACCACACTTGCTCTTCTTCTGAGGCACTCAAAGGCCTATTCTGGAACAGTAAAACCCTGGCAACTATTTTACTGGCTAAAATGAAGACAGTTGGAATGGAGGAAGCTAAATGGTAACTGTCAGAAGTACATCTTCCCAACAAAAGGTCCTAGAGCCCCAGTGAAAAAGTGGACCCTTATTGAGAAGTTCAGAAGGTGGTCATATATATGGTTGAACTGCCTTGTCAATGAATATATATTGTAACTTACGAATGTAGGTACTTACTGTAGCCTTGCAAACATTACAGACATACCTTACTCACATGCAGTTTTACTCAAATGCTTAAAATAAGCATATGCTTAAATGTCTTTTTTAAACAGGAACTTAGCACACTGTTCTACATTTTATTTGCTGAAACTTCTAATTTAACTTCAATACAGCATGAAGAATCAGACAAATGAAAAAATGAACAATTACAGTAAACAAAGTGGGCTGAACAGCGTAAGAGATGGAGGCACCAAACTATAAGTACATAAATTTCTCATGAGCAATTTTCTCACATTTTTATGTGACTACTCTCAGACGATGTGTGCTCTGTTCTAGGTAGTCAGATCCAATAACAATTAAAACACGCAGCAGAATAATGATTCTGCCATTAGCATCCTGGGCTTGTGGGGGAGTGGGGTGATCTGCCAGAAAAATATTCCACAGCACAGCACGTAACATTATGCTTACTAAACAGAAAGTCACTGAACAGAAAATTATCAAATTTGAAGGGTGTTGCGATTACTCATATTTCCACTCCACTATCTTGAATCTATTAAAGGTAAATAAACACTCAAGCAGTAACACACAGAGCTCCATCCATACAGTAAAGCAGTTGAAAAAGTCAGAAACCTGTGTTTTGAAATTACTGTCTAAACAGAGGATTACTAAGTTACAAAAATACTGAAGGTGGTTTAATATGCCTAGATAGGACCAGTTTGACACAAACATTTTTACCACTGAATCAAAAAAAGATAAAGGATTTACTCTGTAGCCAATACAGTCATACGCTCTTAAGTTCCCAGGATTTTTTCACAGATCCCTCCCGCCCCACGACTGTATCTGACTGCAAGCTACTATCCTCTGCTCCGGCCTCGAGTCTGCCACGCCGCACTTTCGCACACCGCTCGCTATTAAACAGAGGTATTTAAGCGTGGGTGTCCCTGGCTACCCTCCCTCAAATAAGCTGTAGGAATGACGAGTGCCCGTCGGCCCTTCCCGCCCGGGCAACCGACGCCTGGCAGAGGGGACGTGCGCTGGGGCTGAGGGGCGAGGCACGGCACCGCTTTGTGGGCTGCCGTGGGCCGGCCCGGCA